GTCCCCACAAACAGGGGGAAAGCCCAGAGTAATTTTGGCCTTCACAGAGCTCCACAGGTCACATTCACATCTTATTGATCCTAACAAGTTAGCTGCTCTCGGCACCATCAGCCATGATGGGCCAAAGGACCCAAGGCTTCTGGTTCCTGTTCCAAAAAATACTAACAATTAACACAGTTTCATGACCAAATTTCAGTATTTTCAGCTGAAAATATTTTCATAACTGAACTGAACATAACATAAACTGAAAAATCTAATGGTTTCTATCATTTTGAGATACTCTAAAGGTTAAATTATTACATTATCCGTTCTAGCTAATTTTTTGTGTGTGTGTGTGATGAAGATCAGCCGTGAGCTAACATCCATGCCAATCCTCTTCCTGCTGAGGAAGACCGGCTCTAAGCTAACATCCATTGCCAATCCTCCTCCGTTTTTTCCCCCAAAGCCCCAGTAGATAGTTGTATGTTATAGCTGCACATCCTTCTAGTTGCTGTATGTGGGACGCGGCCTCAGCATGGCCGGAGAAGCCGTGCGTCGGTGCGCACCCGGGATCCAAACCCGGGCCGCCAGTAGTGGAGCGCACGGCACTTAACCGCCAAGCCACGGGGCCGGCCCCCGTTCTAGCTAATTTGATAGTAAAATACCCAGATAATATTATGTGACATGGAACATAATTAATCACCACATTCTTTAGCCTTCTGATAGATAGAGGGTGAATAGTGAACTCAAGCTGTTCAGTTTCACCAGTGAGAAACCTCTAAGTGTTTAAAAGAAGAAACCTAGACATAATGCCAGAAGTTTTTAAAGTGTCACAAATTTTTAAATTTCACTAACCCAGGCCTCTTATTCCTTATTATTTCAAGTACTGACACCTCAAGAGGTGTATAATTTATAGATGCTCTATGTAGAAATGAAAATAAAATGGTAACAATTATAATACAACTCTTTCTCTGTAAGTCTAATTAGAAAGTTTGGAGCTTAAGAAAATTTTAAAATAAATCTTACTGTGTCTTGTCAGCTCAGGGGAACCATTACCTATGCACAGATTAACTCAATTGTATTCTAAGAGTTGTCCCTGCACAGAAAAATTATTTCAAAAAACTTTAGTCTGAAGTGGAATGACCTATTACATTAGTTATGTGAAGTTCTCAAAATGGTGCCATGTCTGTGATCCATTAACACAAAGAGAAGTAAGACATTAAAATGAAAAGAAATGCGTGATATTTTGATACAGGGTACACTCAAACAAGGCTCCCCTTTAGCCTTTTCCTATGACTATAGTCAAGCCTTTTCCTATGGCGTCATATTTAAAAACAAAAAAGAGCATTGGCCTAAGCTGAGAGCATTTAGAAATGCTGAGTTTGGCCTGGTTTTCATTTAGACCTAAAGACAATTCCCTAGGGTAAATTACATGAACCCTAATAAACATGAAGACCTGCCCGGCACTTAGACATAGCAGCTTTTCATCAGATGTTCATGACATAAAGGCACATGAATTTCTTGATGGAAAGGTCACATTTCTCTTTGCTTGACTCTTACCGAAAAAATCATTTTACCTGCTAAATGCTATATTGGCCATAGTTTTTCAGAAGGTAAATTTTGTTTAAAAAAACAAAAAGGAAAATTCATGGTGGTTGTATATTCTGCAATAAATAAATGACAGTACAATTTCTGTATCTCCTCACAGTGTTTCACATCCATCTCTCTTGGAACTTATTCCTTCTTCCTGCAGACTATGCTCACATGTCACCTCCTCAAGGAGGCTGCTATAGGCTCAAGATTCATGTCCCCACAATATTCATATATTTAAATCCTAACCCCCAAGGTGCTGGTATTAGGAGGTGGGGTCTTGGAGGTGATTAAGTCTTGAGGGCAGACTCATGAATGAGATTAGTGCCCTTATAAAAGTTGCCCAGAATGCTCCCTTGCTCCTTCCACCATGTGAGGATACAGTGAAAAGACAGCCATGTAGGAGGTGGGCCCTCACCAGACACTGACTCTGTCAGTGCTGCGATCTAGGACATCCTAGCCTCTGGAATTGTGAGAAATAAATTTCTGTTCTTGATAAGCCACCTAATCTCCGGCATTTTGTTATAGTAGCCCAAGCGTGCTAAGACAGATGCCTCCCCAACCATCTAAGACAGAGGCCTCCCCACCCTCAATGTTCTCTATCTGTTACCCAACTTTATTTCATCACCACCTGACAAATAATTATTGTTTGTTTATTGTCTGTCTCCATCACAAGGTCTATGTTTCCTATTCCCTGCTTTATCTTTAGCACCTACACAGGGCCTGGCAGGAGATTCTCAAATATAACTAGATGCTCAAGAAATATTTGTTGAAAGAAGAATTAATGCATGAATAAATGAGGGGCACTGTGCTAGATGTGGGGGGTGCCTTCAGGGAATTCACAATCTAATAGAAGAAACAGACATGTTCATACTGCAATGTAGCATGATAAATGTTGTAACAGAATAGTAACATACATGGTGACCTAAAGAAGGGGTGGATGTGTTAGGGATGGTTTCACAGAAGAAGAGATACTTTGGCTGAGTCTTGAAGGATGCATAGGAGTTCATCAGGTGGTGAAATGGAAAGAGAGAAGCCTAGAAAGAGGCAACAGCATGTGCAAAGAAAGGAGACAAAAATCCCTCCTGTCCGACTTTTGACATAACTGGAGCAAAGGGTGTAAGGGAGGAAGCTGTAAACTTCAAGAAAATCAGCAGCACTGTTTTCAGCCAGAGTGACTGCAATTGTCCTACTTCTCTCAAGGGAATTTACCCACCCTCCAACAGCCTGCTTCAGCACAGCTGTCTAAGCCTGTGGGCAGTGAGGTGTAGCCCACAGGTGTTCTGTCTGCCATCCTCAGAGGAAAATTTCAAGGGTGTAAAATGGCCACAGTGGGATGAGAGAACATCATCTTACTCTGTGCTTGAGGAGGCCACAGCCTTTGGCAGGTGTCGATGCCTCCGTCAACGTCACTGTGAACCCTTATTGACAAAGTCGAGGCGAATGGAGGAGATGGCATCTACAGGGTCTGTGCCCAGGCTTGGGAAGCCTTTGTTAGAGCTCGAACTTGAAGCCAGATGTTCTACTTCCTGGATCAGCTTTCTTTTCAGAAGATGTGAGTACCCCTCCACAGCAAACTGACACTTTTTTGTTATAAGGCTGAGAATAGTTATTCTTAAGAATATTCTTAAGTTATGAGAAAAAAGCATCCTCCTATTAACCAAGAGAAAACAAAATACAGAGGCAGAGGTAGGGTTTATGTGTCTGTGCCAGAAACTAGGACTACATTTAGACAAACTTTGAAAAGTTTATACATTTATTGGGGACATATATGGTTTAATTTAATGTGTTTGAATTCAAGATGAGATTTGAGTAAGGGACAGGAGCTAAAAGTCTGAGGGGAAAGGGAATTAGGAACATCACAAATTGCTCCAATCTTACATTTGTCACGGAGATCCATGCCTGGCCTGGCCTCCTGAGATTTCCAGCATCTCAGCCATGCAAGCAGGTATGGGGTTTTACCGCTGGCCAGAAAAATACTTGCAAATTCACCAGTCAACAGCTTTCCTTGAGAGGCTAAAAGGAAACATGAATTTTTCTGCCTTCCTTAAAAATGCAAGTTTCCTTCTACTTTCCTGTCCTTAGTCCAAATCTTCATTCGTTCAGATCAACTGGAAGTTAAACTTTGCTTAACTAATACCCTCTCCAAAACTTAGTGCTTTGCTTCTTAGGATAGTGAGACCAGGAATGTAATGGAATTCGGAGGAAGGAAACAGTGACAAACAGCTGGACCAAATGAGCAAGGGCAGTGACGAAGGCAGAACAGTAATGATGGTATTACCTTATATTTCAAAAGCATCTTTCTCCAAAAAGCATCTCACAATACTGTATAGATACATAAATTTTGTCTTTTTTCCTTGGTGATTGAAAAAAAATAGATTCATTCTTATTAATGTATATTTCTATAGCTATCCACAAACATTTTGGCTGTTTCTATTTGCTGTGTCTATGACAGCAGTGAATTTCTTCATTGAGCACCATCTGGAAATTGCATTGACTGTTCACTTTCTTTCATTGTATAGGGTCCTATTTTCTGTATCCTCTCCAACTTGGGGCAGTAGCTTTTTCCTTCTTTTGCCATGTTTGTAGCTCGACGTTTTACTTGTCTGAATTCATGTCAGCACGAATATATACATATATGCTCTTACATATATATGCTTTTGTCTTACATTAAAGGTAGAAGGCATAAGCAGTAGATATCAAAATATCCTAGAGAGTCAAGCAGCTGAGATGGAACCATTGCCTAAAGCAGTGGTTCTCCCACCTCCCCTGCATCAGACTCACGGAGTCTGTTAAACCACCCCCAGAGTTTCTGATTCAGCAGGGCTGGCCGGGGCCTGAGAATCTGCATTCTCACGGGTTCCCAGACGACCTTGCTGCTGGTGGTCTGGTACCGCGCTTTAAGAGCCACCAGCCCAGCTGTTTTTAGAACTGGAAGTAGTGGCCATAGCTGAAGCCCTGGCAAAGAAGAAGGAACCAGAAGGGCCACAGAGTGGTGGGTGGAGAGCACGACCCAAGAGACGGTATTGGCCTGATCTTAACAGAGCCCATATCTCTGTTGTCCACCCCCCACCCGCTCCCACCCCACCAGCCAGGACATACTCTGGCGATTGCACCCCGGGGCCGGGAGGCCGACACCGCCGAGCGTCCTCAGCCGCGGTGGCGAGGCGCCCCCTCCCGACGGTCCCTGGGCGGCGTCAGCCGGGCCCCCACTGCGGCGCGGCGGGCCAAGGCGGGCGGGGCTCACCCGAGCCAGCCTGCCGCCGCCTCCCTTCAGGAGGGCGCTGCAGAGGGAGCCGCGGAGGCCAAGCCCCGCCCCCGGGTGGACGGAGCCTCTGGGCCGTGATTGGCCAGCGCCGCCCGTGCGCGGCGACGTCATGCCTGGGCGGAGAGTGTCTGAGGGGAGCGCGGGAGCTGCAGAGGGGGGTTGGGTACGTCCGGGAGAGGCCTCCACCGGCCTGCTTGGCGGCCGGGTGCTCCTTGGGAGAGCCCGGCGCTTCCCCACGCGCTTCCGGTACTAGCCGCGTGCTACCTCGGAGTGTCTCTCTGCCTCCTGGGTGAGCATCCGCGTGGGACCTCTGGTGGGTGGGTGTGTGTGTGTCGGGGAGAGTGGGGAGGGGGCCGCTGTGCTCGCGGCGCCGAGCGAGGAGAGGAGCGGGAGGGTACGCTCTCAGTTTCTGAGGCTCCGGGGACTGCCCTCGGCGCCACCACCCGCCGTCTTGAGCCGTTGGGGTCACTGGCCTGCCTGATGTCGCTGGGCCTTGCGGCTCTAGGGAACGAGGCGTTGGTTAGCCCTCCCAGCAGTTGTAAATGCCTGCTGTGAGTTAAGCACGGTGCTAAGCGCAGGGACTACGCAGGTAACTATGGCCCCAGTACTTAGAAGTGCCAGGCACAGAGCGGATGGTGGTTCATACTTGAGCTGAAGAGCACACAGCCCCTGAGGAAAGGACCTGCTGGGAAGGCAGACAGGTGGTTATCACGTGGTGTGATGTACCAGTGTACCGTTCGTGGTGCACGTGGAAACGCTTGTAAGGGGTGACCTCTTTGAGAAACTAATACTTGACCTCAGGTTTGGAGGAAGAGGCAAAGAATTATAAAATCAAAGTCTGTGAATTCTCTAGCTACTGCCAGTGAGCCTCTACAACCCCAGTTGTAGATACATAGTTGCCTGTTCTTGCAAATAAATGGAAAACACGTTGCAGGGTATTAGTTCTTTTATTCTCATTAGGTTCCTGGTTTCAGAGAAGATGGCAGAGGAACTGGATCTCACGGGACAGGACTCTGATGGGGGTAGTGAGGAGGTGGTCCTGACTCCTGCAGAGCTCATTGAAAGGCTGGAGCAGGTAAGCACCTCAAATAGAGTCCCCTTGCTCCAATCTTAGCCCTTTTATTTAGTCCAACTATGCAAATGTCAGGAATCAGAAAACGAGGAAATGGAATTCAAGGCTTATTTCAAGAGAAGAGGGACTAGATTTTACCATCTACACAGAAATAGGAAGTAGTGGGGACAGGCTTTGTTAGAAACTTCATAATGTCAAATACAAAATCTTCAAGTGGGGCCAATAAGGGACAGCTTTGGGCACATTGAATAAAACAGTTCATAGAAAAGGATCTACTTGGTATTTGCGGGGACTGCAGAGGTTTTGTGGTGGAGACTTGTAAGTTCTAAACCTTAGTCCCTGAAACATCTGCTGTTTCCCTGTAGAATGCTTGGGTTAGCAAGAAAGTGCTGGAACACCTTTAGGAGAAAACTGCTCTTATTTTTCCTTTTCCTCCCATACACTTGCTTTTGTCAGCTGTTCTCTTTTTCCACTGGCTATCTAAAATCGTTTCTGGGATATTTCTCCTTTCAGTCATGATAGCCATGGTTTATTGAGCATTTCCGGTGTCCCAGTAACTGTGTTAAGTTACTTACAGTCAGTATCTTGTGGAGCTCTGGAAGATAGGAGTTCAGACTATCTGTGTTTAGATCCCTCCATGCCACTAGTCTATTATGTGACCTTAGGCAAGTTATATAGCTTGTCTCAAGCACTTCTTTGACTATAAAATGGAGTTAATAATAGTGGCTACCTCACAGAGTTGCTGGGAGGATTAAATGAGGTAATATATGTAAAGTGCTTGGCAGGTTGCCTGACACGTGATAAGCACTCACTGAATGTTGGCTGTGAGCAGTAATAATCCTTACAACAACCCAGTGAGGCAGGGGTTATTGTTATCTCCATTTTACAGATGAGGAACCTGAAGCTTAGAGATGTCAGGTAATTTGCCCAAGGTCACACAGTGGCAGCAGATCAGGATACGACCCAAGTCTCTTTGTCGCCAAAACGTGTGCTCTTAATCCACTACACCTGCTGCCTTGTTCTCATCTTCTCCCTTTAACTGCCCCTTTCCAGAACTTGCTCGTTTGTTACTTTAGTATTCTTCATTTTTTCCTACCAAACATGCCATCATGAGTGACAAAACTGAAGGAAGATAATTTTAAAATTGTACCTTATATGATAATCCTGACCATATAGCAGTTACTCTTAATTTGTTTTAATATCACAGACCTTTTTGAGACTCTAGTGAAAAGTCTGGCCCTTCTTCCCAGAATAGTATATATATACACCCATGCAGAATGCTGCATATCATTTCAGGAGGTTCTCAGACACCCTGAAATCTGCCCACCTAGTCTGTGGAGCCCAGTTGAAGAGCCCCTGCTTTATTAGGAAAGGGTTCACTAAACAAAAATCACAAAGCATAAAGGAAAAAACTGATACATTCAACTACATTAAAATTAAGAACTTCTGTTTTTACACCTTGGTAAGAGTAAAAAGACATGCTGCAAAACTGGGAGAAAACATTTCAAAATATGTAACTGACAAAAGATTAGTATCCACAATACATAAACAAACTTCAGAAACTGCCCCAACGAAGAATGAAATCTTAACAGGCATCTCCCAGAAGCGGAAACCAGAATGGCCAATAATCATATGAAAAAGATGTTCAACCTTTCTAGTAATCAGGAAAATGAAGATTTAAATCTCTATGAGATATTGCTTCATATTCATCAGATTGGTAGAAATGAAAAAAGTGAACAATATAGAGCATTGGCAAGGATGTAGAGCAATTTGCACATTTGTATACTGCCCTGGGCATGTAAATTGGTCACTCTGGAAAAGAATTTGTTATTGTCTAGTCAAGTTAAAGGCACACATATCTTGTGGCCCAGTCATTCTACTCCCAGCTACATGCCCTAGAGAAAACTTACACGTGTACTCCAGGAGACATGCACAAAGTGTTCATAGCATTGCTTGTGATAGTTAAAAACTGAAATAACCCAGATATCCATCAAGAATAGAATGGATAAAAAATTGTGGCGTAGACACACAATGGGAAAAAAGATAGCAATAAAATGAGTAAAAGCTCCTGCAACAGCATGGAGAACTCTCAGGAACACCATGTAGAACAACAGGAAATAAGTTGCTGAAGAAACATAAATATGTCAAGTTCAGACGCTTGCAGAACTGTTGTTCAAGGCAGAGCTTGCCAGCTCGACTGATGCAGCACACACTGGTGTGCTGCAGATGCCTCGTGATGTTGACCCTCTGCCCTCTGGGACAGCCAGAGCCCCCAGGCTGGCTGCCTCTTGCCGGTATCCTCGGGGGCCCCTTGAAAGGCAGCCTGAGGATAGTGGGGTCTGACAGCACAGCCGCAGCCTGGCAGTGGGTGCACATGAGTTAACATCTTGGGCCTGATGCTCTGTTGCAGTGCCCTGAGTGCAGCCAGGGCTGGTCCACCACCTGGACAGTGGCTGCAGCTGGACACGGACTCCTAGGCTGTGTGGCATGGCCTAAGGGGCAACTTGACAGGACCACTGATAGACCCAGCTCCAGGAGCATATATAGGATACTCCTGCATGCCTGTGAAAAATGATTTAAAAGTTATTACCTACAGTGCAATGTTTCTCATTTTAATGATTGTATTAGTCTGCTAAGGCTGCATAACAAAGTAGCCACACTGGGTGGCTGAAACAACAGAAATTTATTTTCTCAACTCTGGAGGCTAGGAGTCTGAAGTCAAGGTACTGGCATGGTTGGTTTCTCCTGAGGCCTCTCTCCTGGGTTTGTAGATGGCTATCTTCTCCCTGTGTCTTCACATGGTCTTCCCTCTGTGTGTCTGTGTTTAAATTTCCTCCTCTTATAAGGACACCAGTCATATTGGATTAGGCCTCACCTAATGACCTCATTCTAACTTAATTACCTCTTTGAAGACCCAGTCTCCAAATACAGTCACATTCTGAGGTACTAGGAGTTAGGACTTCAACATATGAATTAGGGATAGAGAGGGACACAATTTAGCCCATAGCAATGATGAACATATTTGTCATTAAAAATTTTGGTCAGGAGCCAGATGTAGCCATCTCAGACATAGAACCTGATTATTGAAAAAAGACCATGGATTTAAACACAAGTTTCTCACTAAAAATTTTTAAAATATTTTATTTGAAAGTTTTGTACTAATATAAAGTTTCCTGTAATGTTTTATATTTTATTATCATGATTTCTTAATGTAAATGAGAAAACTCCCCCAAATCTACTCCATTTTACCCCAGTGTACCATACAGGCATTATCAAATTATAAAATTGATAAATTATAAAATTATAATTTTATATTATAAATTATAAAAATTTATAATTTTATTTTTTATTTTAAATTTTATAAAAATTTATAATTTTTATAATTTTAAAATTATAAAAAATATTAAATACTAAATTCAGGCTAATGATTTCCTCCGAGGAGGGAGGGACACATGGGGAGTTTATGGTAAAATTCTTTAATGAAGTTATGTGCCCACAGGTGTTTTTATCACTATTTTTCATGTTAATAGGTATTTCATAAATATTTTTGTATCTAATCAATATTTAATAAAATCAGTTAAAAAGAAAAACTCCTGCTTTATAAGTCTTCTATGACAATTTGATCTGTTCTCATTCATTATGCTACTTGAAAATACAGATTGTCTTTCTGGTTAATTTTCTATATCTGTAACACTAAAGCTTGAGCACCTGAAAAAAATTTTATGATAGTAGCAATCCCCAGTATTTAATAATATGTCTTGATGGTGATAATTGGAGAAGTAGAGCCTCAAGGACTCAAAAGGAATAAATTGAGCCTGATTGGCATGTAATTCTGAGCTATGCTAAAACTAGATTTCCTGGAATTGAAAGATAAGTAGAGTTTTCTTCAGTCACCTGTGGATATTTCAGTTCTCCAAGCCTTGGTAATATCTGAAATGTACCAAGCATCTGAGCCTGAGTCAAAATTAGGGATTTAACCTCTTGTTCTAAAATTGTTTAATAGGTGAATATCCATTTCTATTGTGATCCTTTATACTCTTGGACAGTTAGTAAATAACTTAATCTGTGTTTTCTTATCAGTGAGATAAAGATAGCTATATCCATTTCCTCTCATATTATAATGATGAATGAAAAAGTATGTGTAAAGTGCTCTGAGCTTCAGGAATGAAGAGATGTGTGGATTTATGTCAAGTGTTGCTTCATCTCTCAAAATAGAAAGGTGCTGGTGCCCCCTGGTGGGAAATAGCAAGGGAAGAAGTAGAAATGTGTTGCTGCTACTCCGTCAGAGGTACTGTTTGAACACCAGGCGGCGTCACTCTCAGCACTGGGATCGTATACCATTCTTGAAGTGAACAGTGATTTTTTTTGTAATGTTGGTTAAATAAAAGGTTGTGAACACAGTCCTCCCACTAAAAGAAACAGAAAAGCCTTCGTTAAACATAGCTTGTCTTCAAAGCATTTCCGGTGTTTCCAGCTGGTAGGCAAACAGTTTTCTTTGCCTGAGATAGCTGGGATTTTCAGGGAGTATGTACTAACAGGATTGTTTTGTGCCATTGTGAGTGATGCTTTTTTTTGTTGTGCCGTTGTTTTTTAGGCCTGGATGAATGAAAAGTTTGCCCCTGAATTGCTGGAAAGCAAGTGTGAAATTGTGGAATGTGTCATGGAACAGCTCGATCACATGGTAAGAGTTGCTTGTCTCGGGGTTACAAAGGACGAGAACGTTAAAAGGGTCTGTCAGCATAGGGAGAGGTTGTGGTCTGATAGCAAATCTGCTTTGCTTGGCCCAGCCTAAGTTGTTGTTGTTGTTGTTTTTAATATTGAATTAGTTATCTACATTTACAAAGCAGGAGAGTTCCTGCGAATATCTGCATATCAGCTTCCCATGAAAAGTCCAAAAACCTGTCATCACTGGCCCCACATTTCTACATGAGAATAGCTGACCAGGGCAGGGTAAGGGCCGCCACCTTTCAGTGTGCTCTCCAGTTCCCCACAGTCCCTAATTGCCTACCTTTCTCATAGACCTTACCTGCCTAGCCCCCATAATCATTTGAGTGTGCTGCCGTTGACTTAGATGAGCTCGGCTTAAGTCATTATCAGCCTCAAGTAGCTTAAAAACATTGGTATTTTACAATTTCTCGACTGGTGTTTTTACACTACTTTTTAGACTCTTTAGGCATTTTTTCTGTCTGCTATATTATCTCCTTAATAATTGGGTTGGAGTTCTGGCCAACGCATATTCAGAATGTAGTCTTTGAGTCCTCAGCATTGCCAGTGAGGATGGTCCTTGTGGGCTGTGTGTAGATTAAACAAAAAAGGTCCTTAGTCTTTGAATATCATGTTTTTTATAAATTTCATTTTCTCTTTTAATAGGAAGAAAATCTCAGGAGAGCCAAGAAGGGGGACCTGAAGGTCAGTATCCATCGAATGGAGATGGAGAGGATCCGCTATGTCCTTAGCAGCTACTTGCGGTGTCGGCTCATGAAGGTTTGACATGGAGATACCTGTAGGCATTACGACAGTGCAGTCTATGGTATAGACTTAAGTGTCTTGGGGAGAGGTTGGACTGGGGCCTGGGAGGCTCTAGGCCAAAAGATGCTTCTGAGGCCCAATATCAGGATAGCTAAAGAGTAAGGAGGGCAAGAGATTGTTCTGGAGAAGCATAGATGGAACGTGTGTTGCAGACCTCCAGGACACATTTTTAGTTTGTTTATCTGCTGTGTGAATGGTGCCCCCTGGAGTTACAGCATGGCAGTGCTGACGGTAGGGTTGTTTGTGTTGGTTAGACCGGGAATACTGACTAGAGGAGAGCTGGTTTTAAAAATTATTTTGCGTCTGTCATACAGTCAGTGTCAAATGGACCGTGGTAACTTGACATTCAGCTTTAGCCCTGTGGCCATCTTCCTTATAAAAATGAAATTGCAAAACAGTCTGTTTTGTATGATGTCTGTTTCAGCCCTGGAAAGTTCTTCCTTCCTTAAGTTTCTTCTCATTTGGTTCCGCTTGTCCCCTTAGTTATTACAAAACCAATACATTCTCTCTTCTACATGAGAGTGCTTCAGATATCTGAAGACAGCTCACAAGTCTCATCAAAGTCCTCTCAGCTAAACATTTCAACCATTTATTTCCATTTACTCTCCTGATCTTTTCCCTAAAAAGGTTCTTCCTAAATTATACCACCTGCAACTGAATACAATATTCCAGTTTTAGTTGGTCAATTTTGTGAAAAACAAGACGATCATTTCCCTTATTCTCGATATTAAACTGGTAGTAATTCCGCCCAGTATCACATCAGCATGTTTGACAGACACACCATGCTTAGTTCATTCTGTACTCACCATGAACTCTAACCTTTCCTGAAGTTTTTATTATTACCCCATCCTGTCACCATCCTGTATTTATATGGCTTGATTTTTGACCCCTAAGTGTAGGGCTTGATTATTATTCCTCTTAAACTTCGTCGTATTAAATTGGGCCATTTCCCTGGTCTCTGGATCCTGATCTTGTCACCTAATATATTAGCTATCTCATAACACTTTGTGACATCAGCAAGTTTAATAAGAATGTCATCAAGGTTCTTACCTGATTCGTTATTAGGACTGGGCCATTGATCGAGTATTCCACCAGAGACTTCCCTATGGAATGACATCTGTCTGTTCAATCAGTATTCTCTGTCTAACTCTTTTTGAGTCTCAATCTGTACTGTCACCTGGCCCCAGGCTTACAGTTTGTCCACAAAGGTGTCATAAAGACGATATCACGTTTTGAAAAAATTGAGACACACAGTATGCCTCTCCACTCACCCTCAACTCCCACGCCACTCACTTTGTTGTTGTTGTTTGGATAAATCCTCTTCATGTTAACCACTTTTCTTTACTATTCTAGTATAGTGCCACATATCAATGTTAAGGACACTACTCTGTGTTTGAAGATTCCCTGCCGCCTTTGTATTTTTAAAAATCGGGATATTTGCCTATCTCAGATCTTTCACACCTTTTCTGAACTCAGTAGTTCTTCTGAGATTGTAAAACTACTTATATTTTTAGTACACTAAGTGATACTGTAACAGTAGCAATTTACATATAACAGGAGAAAGTGCTTCATATAATTACACTCTATACGAATTTTATTTAATTTATCCTGGAACATAATTGATCCAAGCCAAAAAACTAAACTCCTTTGAAGAGTAAGTACTCCTTCGTCTTGGCCTTCAGTTCCTCCTCACCTTTGTCATTTCCCTACTTGCAGGGAGCATTTCCTTCCACGGGGATAACGGTAACAGCATTGACTCTGAGCAACAGCCTAATCCCTTCGCAGCTCCTGACAACACAACTTTTTATAGGTTTTGGCTTTTTTTTGTTTTTGTTTTGTTTTCCAGGTAGTTGTTAGCGTTTTTTCCAAGACTCACCTAGATTCTGGGCTTTATCCTTGCTGGTTATATTCTTGGAATTGAGTGTCACTCTTCTATCTGCCTGTGTATTCTGTATGCATCTTTCCAGCATTTGTATATGTTTCATCTCATAGAAGAACACCCTGTACAATTACATAAAAATGTTCTCTTCCTCTTAAATGTCATTTACAATTGTATTTTTGGATTTTCTTTTATGATAGCCTCTCATCCTTTTTAAACTGTCTTCCATTTTAGAGCCGTTTTCTTTTCTCTGAATTCTTTGGAACCTGCCTTCTTGAAGTCCAGAGTGTAGGCCTTATTATTAGAAAGAGTCTTGGCCAGGAAGACTTCCCTTTTTTTTTTTTTTTTTAATTTTTTGTTTATTGCAGTAACATTGGTTTATAACATTGTATAAATTTCAGGTGTACATCATTATACTTCTATTTCTGCATAGATCACCTGATGTTCTCCACCCAAATACTAATTACAACCCATCACCACACACATGTGCCGAATTATCCCTTTCGCCCTCCTCCTTTCCCCCTTCCCCTCTGGTAACCACCAATCCAATCTCTGTCTCTGTGTGTTTGTTTATTGTTGTTATTATCTACTACTTAATGAAGGAAATCATATGGTATTTGACCTTCTCCCTCTGACTTATTTCACTGTGCATAGTACCCTCAATGTCCACCCATGTTGTCACAAATGGCTGGATTTCATCGTTTCTTATGGCTGAGTAGTATTCCATTGTGTATATATACCACATCTTCTTTATCCATTCGTCCCTTGATGGGCACTTAGGTTGCTTCCAAGTCTTGGCTATTGTGAATAACGCTGCAATGAACACAGGGGTGCATGTATCTTTACGCATTGGTGTTTTCAAGTTCTTTGGATAAATACCCAGCAGTGGAATAGCTGGATCATATGGTAGTTCTATCCTTGATTTTTTGAGGAATCTCCATACTGTTTTCCATAGTGGCTGCGCCAGTTTGCACTCCCACCAGCAGTGTATGAGAGTTCCCTTCTCTCCACATCCTCTCCAACACATGTTGTTTCCTGTCTTGTTAATTATAGCCATTCTGACGGGCGTGAGGTGATATCTCATTGTAGTTTTGATTTGCATTTCCCTAATAGTTAATGATTTTGAACATCTTTTCATGTGTCTGTTGGCCATCTGTATATCTTCTTTGGAGAAATGTCTGTTCAGGTCTTTTGCCCATTTTTTAATTGGGTTGGTGGTTTTTTTGTTGTTGAGATGCATGAGTTCTTTGTATATTTTGGAGATTAAGCCCTTATCAGATGTATGGTTTGCAAATATCTTCTCCCAATTGTTAGGTTGTCTTTTCGTTTTGTTGATGGTTTCCTTTGCTGTGCAGAAGCTTTTTAGTTTGATGTAGTCCCATTTGTTTATTTTTCCATTGTTTCTCTTGCCCGGTCAGACATGGTGCTTGAAAATATGTTGCTAAGACCGATGTCGAAGAGCATACTGCTTATGTTTTCTTCTAGAAGTTTCATAGTTTCAGGTGTTATATTCAAGACTTGCCATTTTTAAAGTCAGTTTCTAGATTAACCTCAGCCTATTTCAGAAATCTGGTATGTTGGACACTTGAATCTTGACAGATGTTTTCATCTTGATTTTATCCTCGCAGATAGAGAAGTTTTTCCCTCACATCCTTGAAAAGGAGAAAACACGCCGTGAGGGGGAGTCTTCTAGCCTTTCTCCAGAAGAGTTTGCCTTTGCCAAAGAGTGAGTAAGCAGTAAGTGTGGGAACCACCTTTCTTTCCCTGGCTCGTGAGCATGAGTTTTGGTGGTTGTATCCATGAAGCCCATCTCAGAGCCGCTGTTCTCTGTCTGATAGCCTTGGTGGCTCATACAGTTCATGTTGTGACAGTGATGTGCATTTTTGTATTTCAGGTACATGGCTAACACAGACACCTATCTAAAGAATGTTGCCTTAAAGCATATGCCTCCTAACTTACAGAAGATGGACCTCTTGAGGTCAGGTGAGCAGAACATTCTCTTTCAGACATCCTGAGGGGCCATAGTTTACACCCTAAGTATCTTCAGGTGCCTTGGAATAGAATCTTCACTCTTTTCTCTCAAACATGGAAAAATAAGTATGTAGATAAACAGAAAAGAGGAAGGGTTTTAACAAAAAATTGTTGCAAGGGTAGCCACATCAGCATGAACTCGGTGTTGTTCAGGTTGGGTTGACATTCTTGTGACTGCCGTTCTAGACATAGACTCAGTCGTGCGTTCAGTCACTCGTCCCTCCAGCAGTTACCTGCTGGGCATCTGCACTGTGCTAGGCTCTTCTGAGCGCTGACAGTACAAGGCGTCTGCTCTCAGGGGGCTGGTAGTCTTTCCTCACAGCTTCCAGATCGTGCAGGGACTGTCCAGCTACCAAGGAGGCTTTAAATAGGAGGCTAAGGAAACCTCTGGTGATTCCCTGTCACCTGGAGTAAAGGCTTCTAGTCTCTGTTGTGAGGAGTTTCTCTCATTAAGGAAAGGGGAACAGGACTGAGAGTGTGGGGGAGAAGGAGAAGGCGGCTGGGCGAAGGGAAGCACGACCAGAGCTTCCACCTCTCGCCCTCCTCGCACAGTCCCCTTTAAATTCTGCTGAGCTGACACAGTGCAGCCTGTAACGCCAGGAGCAAGCAAACGCAAACCAGATTTCTGGAACTCTGAAGTGGTCATTTTGGTGAACCTGCCTGAGGGAAACAAAAGGCCGGTCCATGTCCAGGTCAGCCACTTTTGTTTGCACCTTAGAAGGATAGGAATGGAGCAAGGACCATCTCCCTAATCATCGCCCAGGGCTGTCACATCCAATTGATTAAAGCAGCCATGGGACTACTGGTGGGCATGCATCTGAATTTCTGAAACTGGGTCTAAGCCATTGTCCCAGAGCTTCTACTTGATGCTGGTGGACACCTCCTAAAACACTCACATGTCACTTGTCCACATCCCTTCCAAGAACTAGAGCCAGGCTCCTGGGATTGAAGCTGTGGGTGGGGGGACCAGCCTGCCCTAGTAAAATCAGAGTCTTGCTTAGTTAGCCCAGATGCTCTGAGTCCCCCTCAGGCCTCTGGAGCATTGTAGACCCTGAGATCAGGGTCAGGGAAGGCATGTTGAAATCTAAGCTGAGTTTCCTGGAATCAGTAGCTGCCCCGTGGGGCCGACTGACCTGGTGAAGTTGGAGTCTCTTTGGCAGGCCCAGAACCCTAGAGCATCCCAGGGGACCCTCCTTAGACCTTTGGAGCCAGTTATCCTGAACCCCCTCCCAGAGATGAGGGGATCAGGGGCAGTATGAAACCTGAGCTGGGCTCTTCCAACTGAGAGTTATCCAGTAGGTGCTCTGACCCTGCAGTTGATGGAGCTCTGGGTACATGTGGAGCACCAAGAGATGAGCCATCAACAAGCAGCCCAGGTTGGGGCACACACGCACTTGAAATGTTGGGAGAGAAAGAGGGATGACAGCAACTTCTTAACCTGTAATCAGCCAATGAGGGTCCACTTATAGGTTGAAACCTATAGTTCTTAGTCTAACGTTCAAGACTGTCACCATATGACCCAGTCTTCCTAATACTCTCTCCTCCTCCTTTATATGGAAATACTTTCTGACCAGATTTGTACACTCTGTCCTCCCAAAATGTCATGCATATTTCTACTGTGGCCCTTGCTATTACCTCCCAGGCTCACTTTTCCTCTTTATGTCCCACCCTTTCCTTCACTGCTCACATTGACTTCTTTCTCCTCACATCACTGAGTGAGTGTGCCACTGATATGAAGCCTCAGCAGATGCTGCTGGTACCACCTTGTCCAGAGACCGTGTTGTGCTTGCTGGTATCCTCCATACTGTGGCAGAATTCCCTGCACAGTTTACATGCCCATCATTGTTGAATGAGTGGTTGCTGTGTGAAGCCATGGGTGGGAAGTGTGCTATTTCTATAAGGAGCCAGATCTCTCCTCGAATCACGCCCCACACAATGGTTTTACATCAGGGGTCCCTCAGTGCTTGAGACAATTAATCCCAGCAACTTTTCCCACACTGATCTTGTTAGCTGAGCATTTTCTGATCACATTGTTGTTTTTCTGGCAGTTCCCAAACCAGATCTAGATTCATATGTGTTTCTAAGAGTGAAAGAACGACAAGAAAACATCCTAGTAGAACCAGAAACAGATGAGCAAAGGTGAGTGACGTGTGTGTCTCTGACAGTGGGAGATACTCCTCGCAGTGGAACACCAGCTGAGCTCTGCACACCCATTTTCTTCCTCCTTTTTCAGGGACTATGTGATTGACTTGGAAGAAGGCTCACAGCACTTGATCCGATATAAAACCATTGCACCTCTGGTTGCTTCTGGAGCAGTACAGCTAATTTAAAAACAGAACTAAATAAACAAGAATGAAGATGCGGAACCCTGGAGAAAATGTTCAGAAATCCCTCATGTCACTTTGTCCCTGTGGACCACAGACTTTTCCCAGCAGTGCTGGGGGTCGCTTGGGCATTGAAAAGGAGCTCAAAGTGGGATTCCTAACATGCCAGAGGCCCTCCCGACCATGCTATGTTAGCCAGCATCAGCAGATGGGCCCCTTGCTCTGTTGATTCTGTGCCCTGGGCAAATACATGGAGACTGTCACTTTGTGCACCTCTTTCCTTTGTGGTGTTTTTTGAGCTAAAGAAAGTGAGGGAAAAGTAGCTCATGAAAAGGCACCACTGCCTGTGTTAGGGGACTGTAGTCAGCCCTGGCCTGATAGTGGCAAGAGAGTTCATTTAATCTTCCTGGTAGGAAGACAGTCAATTGGAGAAACAGTTGTGGCCTTCTTCTGTGATACGTCACTAAACTGTGTGAACTAACCTTTGGGAACCTCTAATATTGGCCTTAAAACCAGTTTCCGTCATGCTTAACTGAGAATCGTAAGTAAACCAATAACCCATTACTAAGATTCAGTTTGGTGGCAGAAGGAGCCTCTGGACAGTTCTTGGCCTGTGGTATGATGGAGTGCGTTCTCCCTGCTGCTACGTTGCAGCCTCCCCGAATCTCAGGCAGCTTCGCCAGGCCAGCCTCCGGGCCATCTGGCCACCTTGGCCAAGGCTCTGCTAGCAACAGTGACAATCCTATAGTAACCTCAGTATCAGCTTTTCTTTGTTAAGCTCTTCACTTTCCCAAGGGAAATGGGTGCAATTAAACTCCTGAGAATGGAGAACGTCACAGTGATACCTGCAGGAAAGATATATGGATATTGAATGAATCGTCCTCCCTTGAAATGTGATGAAAAGCAATCTGCATTCCAGCCTTTTCTTGCTTGATGGAAAGGCAGCAGGTCCTCATTTACATGACATAGGCTATTAGAGTAATCAATGTAATATTGCTGTCATTTCCAGGAGACGTCACTAAGTGAAAGCAAAGAAGGTTTTATTTGTTAATAAAAGCATTTTATATTTCATGTAGTGCTTTTTTCCAGCATGTTTTACCCTCTTCAGCCATTCATTACACAAATATGTACTGAGCATACAGTGTGCCAGGCACAGTTCAAGACCCTGGGGCTCCAACCCAGAGGCAGACAGTCACCATGCCTGCTCAGACAGTGATAAGGGCCTTGCAGAGAATTAGAGCAGGGTGACTCACCCGAGAGTGACTCATGGTCTGAGGGGTTCTCACTGATTTCAGTGACTCTTACTGAATTAGGCTGAGGTCTGAATAACAAGGAGCCAGACACACAGGGATCAAAAGGAAGGGCGCTCCAGGCAGAGAAGGCCACTTGTGTAAAGACCCTGAAGCAGAAACAAGTCCTGCCTGTGGTCAGTGCGGCTAGAACACAACGGGCAAAATGGAAAATGGTGCAGGATAAGGTCTGAGAGGCAGGCTGGGCCCAGATCACTTAAGGGCTCTGTTAGCAAGGATCCCATTTGGTCCTCGAAGCAGTCTGAGAAGTAGGCAGGGTGGGAGGATGCATTAGGTGGGGAACAAAGCCATAAGTCTGAACCTGAGTCTCCTTCCAGTCACGTGTGTGTGCCCTGTCGCCATTGCCTCCATTGTGCTAAGCAGCCAGGAGAGGGACCTGGGCTGTTATGCTGTTATCTAGAACAGCATTTCCTAAGCCTTAATGTGCACAGCAGTTGCCTAGAGATCTTGTTAGGATGCAGATTCTCATTCAGGAGGTCTGGGATGGGGCCCAGAATTCTGCATTTCTGAGGAGCTCCAGAGGCTGTGCAGTTGCTGCTGATCCAGGGACCACACTTAGAGTGACAGAGCTCTACGTCTTCCTGTCACAGCTTCTGTCCTGTGCGTGCTGGGCCACGCGGAGGAGGTGAAAGTCTCTGCTAAAGCCACTGAGTGAGTTGCTCCATTTCCTAGGTCACCTCTCCAAAGGAAGACTGGTTTAGATATGTGCTTTTAAAGTAAAGGTGAAGTGGGCCGGCCCCATGGCTTAGCGGTTAATTGCACGCGCTCCGCTACTGGCGGCCCGGGTTCGGATCCCGGGCACGCACCGACGCACCGCTTGTCCGGCCATGCTGAGGCCGCGTCCCACATACAGCAACTAGAAGGATGTGCAACTATGACATAGAACTACCTACTGGGGTTTTGGGGGAAAAAAAAAAGAGGATTGGTGATAGATGTTAGCTCAGGGCCGGTCTTCCTCAGCCAAAAGAGGAGGATTAGCATGGATGTTAGCTCAGGGCTGATCTTCCTCACAAAAATAAATAAATAAAATAAAATAAATAAATAAATAAAGTAAAGGCAAAGTTAAATCTCTAAACCAAGTAGAAAGGGAAATGATGTGACTTAGTGTGACCTTCACTAAGTTTTTCAGTTCATGGTGAGTATTTTGCTTTACTGGAAGCATGATAGAACATTTTCTTCAAATAATTGCAACATACTTTATCATAAGCTTGCCACCAGCAAGATGGCTATTCCTGAGAAATGCTTGCAAGTCCGTATCTGGGTTTTCCCAGCCACAGCAACCATGTGTCAGCTGTGACCTTGCAACAAGCCCCAGCTATGTTCTCTGTGTGCCCAGGCCCTGGCAGGCAGAGGGGCTCTAGTGCCACCCTCTTAGGCACTGAACTTCCTTCTGTGACATTCACAGTTAACCATAAAGCTTTCGGAGTGAAGTGTGAAGCAAGTACTTTATATATCAATTCTTTATATAATGTTCTTTAAGTAATTTATCATGGGAGGCTAAACATTCCAAACATGGAATTCTTCAAGAATTGAATTTTTTGTGTGAGGAAGATTAGCCTGAGCTAACATCTGTTACCAACCCTCCTCTTTTTGCTGAGGAAGACTGGCCCTGAGCTAACATCGTGCCCATCTTCCTCAACTTTGTGTGAGACGCTGCCACAGCATGGCCTGACAAGTGGTGCACTGGTGCACACCCGGGATCTGAACCTGCACACCCTGGGCCGCCACAGCGGAACACGCTATGCCACTGGGCTGGCCCCGAATTTTTTTTTTTTTTTTTGTATTATGGTAAAGTACATGTAACAATTACCATCTTAACCATTTTAAGTGTACAGTTCAGTGGTATTAAATATATTCACACTGTTGTGCTGCCGTCACCACTATCCGTCCCTGGAAGTCTTTCCATCTTGTAAAGTTGACACTCTATACCTATTAAACAATAATTCCTCATGATCACCCCCTGTCAGCCCCTGGTAACCACCATTTTACTTTCTGTCTTTATGATTTTGACTACTCTAAATACCTCATCTAAGTGGAATCCTATAGTATTTCTCTTTGTGACTGGTTTGTTTCACCAAGATTGTCCTCAAGATTCATCCATGTTGTAGCATATTGCAGAATTTCCTTCCTTTTTAAGGCTGAGTAATATTCCGTTGTGTTTATATACCACATTTCGCTTATTCATTCATCCATCGATTCGGTTGCTCCCACATTTTAGCTATTGTGAATAATGCTGCTATGAACAGGGGTATAAAAACATCTCTTCGAGACCCTGCTTCCAATTCTTTTGGGTATATACCCAGAAGTAGAATTGCTGGATCATATGGTAATTCTATTTTTAATTTTTTGAGGAATTGCCATACTGTTTTCCACAGCAGCTGTACCATTTTACCTTCCCACCAACAGAGAACAAGTGTTGCAGTTTCTCTACATCCTTGCCTACACTTGTTTTGCTTTTCTTTTTCGTAGTAGCCATTCTGATGGGTGTGAAGTAGTATCTCATTGTTTTGATTTGTATTTCTCTAATGATTAGTGATGTTGAGCATCTTTTCATGTGCTCATTGGCCATTCTTATATCTTCTTTGGAGAAATGCCTATCCAAGTCCTTTGCCCATTTTTTAATTGGGTAGTTTGGTTTTTGTTGTTGACTTTTAGGAGTTCTTTATATATTCTGGATATTAATCTCTTATCAGATACATGATTTGCAAATATTTTCTCCCATTCTGTGGGTTGCCTTTTTAACCTGTGGATAGTGTCTTTTGATGCACAAAATGTTTTTAATCTTCATAAAGTCCAATTTGTCAATTTTTTCTTTTGTCACCTGTGCCTTTGGTGTCATTTCCAAAGAAATCATTGTCAAATCCAATGTCATAAAGCTTTTGTTGTATGTTTTTTCTAAGAGTTTTATTGTTTTAGGTCTTACATTTAGGTCCTCAATTCATTTTAAGTTAATTTTTTATATGGTGTTAGGTAAGGCTTCAACTTCATCCTTTTGCATGTGGACATCCAATTTTCCCAGCACTGTTTGTTGAAAAGACTGTCCTATTCCCCATTGAATGATCTTGGCGCCTTTTCAAAAATCATTTGACTATATATGTGAGAGTTTATTTCTGGGCTCTCTTGTCTGTTCCATTGCTGTATATGTCTGTCTATATGCCAATGCCACACTGTTTTGATTACTGTAGCTTTGTAGTAAGTTTTGAATCAGGAAGTGTGAGTAATCCAGTTTTGTCCTTTTTCAAGATTGTTTTGGCTATTCAAGATCCCTTGAGATTCCATATGAATTTTAGAGTGGGGTTTTTTTTTATTCAAAAAATGTCATTGGGATTTTGATAGAGATTGCATTGATTCTGTAGATTGCTTTGGGTAGTACTGACATTTTAAAATATTAAGTCTTCCAGTCCATGAACATGAGATGTGTTTCCATTTATGTCGTCTTTAATTTCTTTCAGCAATGTTTTGTAGTTTTTGTTATACAAGACTTTCACCTCCTTGGTTAATTCTTAAGTATTTTAATCTTTCTGATGCTATTGTAAATGGAACCGTTTTTGTAATTTCTTTTTCAGATTGTTCTTGTATAGAATGCAACTGATTTTTGAGAGTTGACTTTGTATCTTACCCCTTCGCTGAATTCATTTATTAGTTCTAACAACTATTTTGTGGAATTTTTAGCATTTTCTATATATAATATCATCTACAAACGGCTAATTTAACTTCTTCCTTTCTAATTTGGATACCTTTTCTTCCTTTTTCTTGCCTAAATGCTCTTTTTATACTGTGTTGAATAAAAGTGCTGAAAGCA